ATTGAAGAGCTTTGTGGCCTGGTTGCGGTTGTCACCGTGGGTTTGGCTTCTACTTCGGCATTGCCTTTTGGGTGGGTTGCGGAATTGACTTGTGTGTTGCGTTTAACATTTGCGGTTTCGCACTTTTGCAACAATCCAACGACGGACGGACGGTCGTCGTGTGGCGTCACCATCGACGAGGGAGATCCATCCGCATCCATCCGGATTTTTGGTGTCCTGCCATTGATTGTACGCAACAGGGTGGAAAGTTGAAGTGCATCCGGGAGTGGTCAGCTGCGTCTGTTGTTTGCTCTTCGCCAAAGTCTGCTGGCCAAATTACCGGGGGGAACTGTGGACGAGATGTTCTGTCATTATGCGAATTATGAGTGGGATAAAAGGCATTAAACAGTTCATTTTTTCATCCCATTTTTAGTCACTGGGTTTTAGGCTAATTGAAAAAAATTGGCTGCTGGGGGGTGGTGGATGGTACCAGGTGAATTTGTAATTTGTAAATGAAGGCCTCTCGGGGTGTTAGTTGAGTGTTTCTGGTTGTCCGGCCCAAAAGTATGCCACATGAATTTCTGATTTTTTTTTATGGCTTCTTGAATACCTAAACCCTCTCTTTCGCATACAAACCTATTTCCAGCTTATCAGTGCTTCATGCTTGACATATTTCAACATGCATACGTATGTGAATTATCGGGAGTTCTTTTCTGTACATGTCAAAATCTGTGACATTTTTTGGAATTTCAATTTTGACAGTTGACGAGCGGTTACATGTGGGGGGAGTGCTGCCAAAAAGGGATGAGATTGGGGGCATCACCTGAATTTATGGCCAACTTTAAGCTCTGGAACACACATCTGATGACTCGCCTCTTCCCAGCTGATGTAATTAAATTTGTGGCTGTGACAATTTCATTTGCCCCATCTCCGCTTTTTAAGGCATGACCAACCCTTTTGCTGTTCGAAACCCTTTATGTATTCCACACTTTTTTTGCTTCTGCTGCCGCCTTGCCAAGAGGTTGAGTGTTGTTACATTATCATCGACATCGGAAAGGGCGGGCCCAGCTTTCGAGTGCGTGTCCTGCGAATTTCCCGACTCCCGCTCATCTCGGCGGCAACTGTTTTGTAGTCATATTATATGTCATTTGCTACGCAAGTGCTTTCAAATGTGCTCTTCTCCGCTTTTTTAAGTGATTTAATGGATTTTGCATACATGAGCAGCCCGGCAAGTTGTTAATTGCTGGAGGCGACTTCAATTAGTGGCATAGCAATGATAGGGGAAATGTCACAAGGCATTTCGAAGGTCCTCAAAAATGCAATCAGCCGGAAGTGACTTTCTGGCGAGCTGGAAACTTGACAAATGCTTTTTAATTTCAAATCTGAACACAGAACATTATTACTTGTTTTTTTAATTCTCGTCGTTAGCTACTAAAAGTATGCTATATGCACTCCACTTTTATGATTTGCCTACATAAAGATGATATTGGAATATCTTTAAAAAGCTCATTCACAAAATTAATCCCTTTCAGTTGTGCATTTTGGTTTTTTTTGTCGTCCGGGCGAACCGTTTAATTAAAGAATAACAAAAGTCTGGCAAATCGACAATTGGCAGCCAGGGAATCACTCCATCAAACTGTCAATAAGCAATTCATTTGCAAATGCGTTTGCCATCAAGGGGAGTTGAGATAAAGAAAAAAAGGTAGGCAAAGAACTGTCTCCTCATTTGTAGGTAAGTCGGTCCACGTCATTGTTTGTCAAAAAGCCATTTGCAAGTGTATCGAATTTCGAGAGCAAAAGTTTTTTCCGAATGGACAAAAAACTGCAGATGAAAGCGAATTGAATGTACTCTGCTAATTTTGGTTTTACAAAATTATAAACTATGAAATATTTAAAAAAATATATAGTCATTATTTATTTGATTTATTAAATGTAATATTAAATATACATGTTTTTAATTATGTAATACAAAAAAAAAATATGATTTTGCCTACAATATTTTGAATATCTACATCTAGGTAAAAGGTAAAGTTTAAGGTTATTTGCCCATTTATTTAAATAAGATATTGGGAATCAACTGCTTTTAAATAACAAAGATTTTTAATAGTTGCTGGTTTTATTGCCTTGCTTATAGATTTTCCGCGCGAATGGTTCTTCACCCAAGACAAGAGCATTCAGCCTCCGCATTCTCCTCAACCAGTTCCCGTGGGACTCGGATGTCGATGCGATTTGGCAAGGGTGAAGGTGGCGCTTCGCTGCTGACTCGACTGCGATGTGTTTGTCGACAGCGGCAACCTATCGAAGTATCGCAGCGCCCCCATCTAACCGAAGAGCCCTGACATTTGCGCCTCCTCACTTCATGCACAATCAACGACTCGATTTAATGGAAAAAATGGATTTCACTCTTCTGCGCCGGCTCGCTCTGCGGTTCCGCCATTGTTCCTGGCACAAAGGACCGTCGGCGAACGAGTGAAACGAATGTGCTTGAATGCTAACCAAAACACAAAAAAAGATGGCTCGGTTTGGCCCTAAGAAGAGCGTTTAATGAACGCTTTCCTCTTGCTCATTGGCACTGGGAAACCGAATCCCCTTTGCCGCACATCAAATCGAAAAATCGTAATTGAAGCTTTACATTGGCAATGGATAACTTTTTGCAAAAAGACTAGAAAAAAAAAAAACTGTCAACGAGCGTTTGCCTTGATTAATTGTGGTTTGAGGTTTTCGTGTACAACATATGCGGTGAGAGAAAACTGTTTAGATATCCGCTGGGCCAATACTTGATTTAAATTTAAAAATTGCGCTGGCATGAGCATTGCGAAAATTGTCAACTTTTTTTTTGTCCGTCGAATTTGGAGTACAATGCAACCGCGATAAGCGGAGTGAAGCGTATAGGAAATTAAATTTTTTCCAATCAAAAACATTTCAATGGCAGTTCACACTCTCAGTTCGCAGGGGCGTCGGAAATCTGGTGAAGTGGGGGGGAGTTGGGATGGGAAACAGAGATGTGCAATCAGCGTTCACTGTGGCCCGCAGTCGGGGATTTATTTGTTCGCAATTGTGTCAATAAACTGGCAAAAATGTATAGCCACATATATGTATCGAATCGATGCTCAAAAATGATAAGCGAAAAAGTTCCAACCGCAAATCAATTTAAATGAAACCTTTCGATTGGAAAGTGTAATGGTAAAAAGTGACAATGGAGGAGCTATTCATATAGAGGTTTTAAAAGTTTAATGTCATTCAAGGGCAACTAGTTTTTTCTAAATTTATTAACTAATAAATTAGCTGAAGATACACAAATATTTTATTGTTGAAGAAATTGTCCATTGCTTATATTGCTTTCGTTTTGAGGGTGCCTGGGAAAAACAATAACATTAAATCACTTAAAGTGTCAACATTGCCCTGGTCATTGTAGCAAGTGCAAGTCCAAGTCCAAGTCCAGATGGCATCATTCATTATCATAATCTGCAACATCATAAAGCAATTTGGCTCCTCTGGAATGGGTTTGTTTTGCGGCTCGCCACGGATGTGTGCTGGTCGCTGTTGGAAATCTTAATTACTTGCCCCCTCTATTTGGACCAGAACTTGACCCCGTCCAGGACGAGTGTGCAGCGTTAAGAGCTGTCCCTCTCAGCTGACCATAATGGGGGTTAATTGGTCTGTGGTGCGCGACACGCATACATCTTGGTAATTAACAAGTGGAGCGAGTGAAAGAGCAGGTCCAGGTCCGGCCATATGGACTGGCTTTCCAGGGGGACACTCACTTTCACTCTCCCCCACAATGAATACACACACACCCCAGATAGAGATCTGTTAGAGGCTGCTCCAAGTGCTTCAAGTGCATTTCAAAATTAATTTATGGGGCGTTGCGTTAATATTAATTTCGCATGCTTTCTCTAGAAATATTTCTCCCCAATGGCCACCCCATGGCAATTGTAGAGCAGTGTCATTGGACTTTCTTCAACTAGCGCAATTTATGGCTTCATTATGTTAATTATTGGCAATTGCTGACTGTTGCGCAGCGATAACCTCTATGCACTTTCTTAATTTGGAAAGGTTTCCAGGGGAGGAGTGAGTACTATAGACACAGAACCACAAAAGCCTGGCCAACAATGGGGCCCAGACCATTAGCCACTTCTATTCTATCCACCTGCCAACGAAATCTTTCATATCCCAAACTGAAACTCATTGTTGTGCCAGCCAAAAATATTAACAGAAAAAACGACTGAAACCCATTTTGAACAATGCCACAAAGTGCATGTAGGATAATGGACAGAGAATGCATACATAATGAAAGGATTTCGGTTTGCTGCCATGCAGGACCAAACACACCCGAATTAAAGAGAAATTTAAACTGTTAAGAATAAAACTTAAAATCTGTGAAATCATTAATCAAGTTGCGTCACATCCTTGGACACTTTCACTCCCTCGGATCTTCATTAGCCAACTGTCAGCCGTCAAATGCTGTTAACTGTTAACGATTCCCCTGATCCTGATCCTGATCCCAATCCTGATTCCTAATTCCTGATTCCTTCTCCTGCTGGGTGGGCGTTGGAGTGTCCTTTCCTGAGGGTGCTTTACTTGTTGTTTGCTGTTCGCTTGGCCCTAATTGTTATTTGGACAAATTGTTTTTCGTTAACCAGCCAACGATTAATGATGTGGTCAGTGCCATCCAAATGGGGGAGGTAGGCCATAAACCGCATCGGTTGTCGAGAAAATTTATAAGGGTTTCCGCAATTAAATCTGTACTAATTACCAACAATAAGACAATTAAGAAAATATGCCGAGAATATGACTGCTAGAGCTAAGGAACTTATAAAAATATCAAGCCAAAACCCCCAAAAGGGAAAGGGTTAATGTAAATTTGGGAAAGCATTTTATGAAGTACAAGAGGGTAATTACCAAAGGCAATTAAAAGTTGTGAGCAATGAAAAAAGGGGGGCTTTTTGAAATTATAAATTTCTTTGAAATCTTAAAAACTTAAATATTTTATAAAAAAAATAAAAAAGCTTATGAACAAGTACATTTTAATCCCTTGTTTTAATATTTAATCCACTAGGTTTTTTGGGTACCATTATTATAACATATCCAAGATACAGCTTTAGAAGTAACGTTGGCTTAAAAACATACAACTTCAATAGGATCCTTAAGTGGACCGCTTGGTGAATTTCTGCTGCCTGGCATAGAACTCCTCGTCTTTCTCGTAGATTATGTAGCTCAGCCGGGGCTTGTCGGATTTGGAGGGTGGCGGTATCATCTCAAGGACGGCCACCAGGTTCTCATTGGCATGCAGTTCGCCGATCAGCTCTGCCATCATCGCGTAGGAGATGCGCAGCATGTGGCATCCATCGTTGCGCCACGCCGTGAAGATCTCGTTGTTCTCTGTTAAATCGTGGTCGGTTCCTGAGAAAAGGAACTTCACGCGGCAGCCGCGATAGCCCCTCAACTCGACATAGCGCACGGATTTCGGGGCGATTCCCTCGGCAGTTTTCGGCTTCGAAAGTGAACGCTCTTCAATGCCTGTTTGTGGACTGGAGGTGATGGTGCTGATGCTACTGCTACTCACATCACTGATACTCATCTCGAAATCACTCTCGCTGCTGGTGTCGGCCTCCATGGGTAAGGCCTTAGCCGACTCCAGGTGTCCAGCTTCCTCGGAAGTGTCCAGCTCGGAGCGCAGAATGTGCATCTCTCGGGTGTCCACCTGCAGTAGCAAGTAGTGCAGCTGACCGTCCGGACGAACGGCCTTGAGGAATAGGCGTGTTTTCTCGGGATTTGTGGGGTCGGCGTCGTGCAGCAGGCGCAGCATCATTTGGGTGGCAGTCACGTGGCCGAAGATCTCCTTGAACTCGAACACGGGGGAATCCCCAGCCACCAAACGTATGGCATCCGCGTAGAGCTGCACGGCCACGTCCTTGCCCAGAAACTCGCCCACGGACTGCTTGCAGCGGGAGCACTCCAGTCGACGACGACCCTGAGTGCTGGTGACCCCGTTGCCCAGCAACTGGATGGAGATCACCAGGTAGTTGAGGCCGAAGAAGAGCTCGTCCTCCTTGGGATACACCGGCGTCCTGTAGCGGGCACAGAAGTAGTTCTGCGGCTTCATGGTCGACAATGGGACCTCTTTTACTTGGAGGTACTGCCTCCGTTCAATTAGCTCATTGGCGCAGTTGCTGCAGTGAAAAGAGTAGGGCGTCAATGGCTCAATACGCTGGATTAGATTCGCCTGCTCCACGTCAACGGTCAGTTGCTCCACCATACGATGCCTAATCCGACGGAGACCAAGGCCAAAGGCCAGATTGTTGTTCTGCACTTCAACCAGGCTGTAGGGCGGCTCGTCCTGTTCCGTTTTGACCTGTATATCGAAGAACTTATCCACCATAATGCGGTACTCCAAGTTCTGTTCGCTCCAGCAGATCCCATTGGGGCTGACCTCGATCTTCTCGGTGGGACCTTCGCCGAGAACCTCCTTGTACAGATTCATCGATCTGAGCAGCAAGACATTCATCCAGTTGCGATGGCGGATGTAGGAAATGACAACTTGGTCCACTGGCATTGTCTTGATTTAGTTTTTAAGTTTAAGATTATTTCGTTTAGAGTAGGTTTTTAAGCTAGTTAATGCTGCGACTGCGTTTTTTCACTAGAAAGTCCCACTCTCAAATAACTGTCAAGTAATATTCGCTTACTGCAATCGAATTAATAAATAAATGTGGCCTGTTTTCTACTAAAACAGGGTTGCAAAATACATTTCAACCTTTTCAATTCTCTTCCAACTAAATTTATACAAATGGCTATAGCTGACCTTCTTTCGATTAAAAGTTAATCCTCTTCTTTTATCCCATAAAATTACCCATTTTATTCGATTGTGCCACATGAACCGATTTTGAGTCCTTTGAAGTTGAGCTAACTGAACATTCAGATTACCCAAATTGTCCTGTTCTTGGTGCAGCACACCTTTTAAAGCTCTTCATCGAGGCGGCTTAACTGGGAAAAGTTCCACTTTTGTTTTTTGATTTCCTATTGAGTGGGTGGTTGGGCTTGTGGTGTATCGTTTTTGGCGGATGCCAGTCGAGACCCTTTGGCTCTTTTGGACAGGAGATAAAGCGAACGCGTCCGCTGCGGCCGGAAAAAAGTTTTGCGTCATAATAAATAATTTCAACGCATTCGTCTGGAAGGATTAAGCGGTGGAAAACCTGTTTTGTTTTGCCTAACAATTTTGTCGCCGCTTTAAACGGAAATTTAAGGCTAAATAGATTTACGAAATTGTAGATGAGTAGAACAGAAGGCATGAAATGGCCTTAAATATTTTTTTTTTGTTTATTATTAATAATGAATAAATATAATATAAAAAAAGCCTTTGAATAAAAATCGTTGAATAAAGATCTTTAATTTTGTCTTATCAATATTTCTGTCTATTAAATTTTTGTATAAAAGACAATTACAATTAGTTGATTGAACAGAATGTCAAAATTTGCTCAAACAATGCTCCATGCTTTTGTTTGATAAGGTTCGAAAAAACTGTTATCTAAACATCGATACATTTCATGATAAAATGATAAATTATTAAGAAATGCAGACTTTAAAATATACTTCGCCATTCAGTCAGTAAACAATATTTTGGCTATTTTCTAGTGTTGATTATGTGAGCCTCTTTAGCTCAGTGGCAGAGCACTGGTCTTGTAAACCAGGGGTCGTGAGTTCAATCCTCACAGGAGGCAGGGCGTAATATTTTATTTAATTTTTTTTATCTTCAACAGTGCGAGAAGAGAGTTTGTCTAATTTTTAGCTGCGTAAATCGATCCGCCGTTTAAGGACCTTGTTAACCCTGCTCGAAACGCAAATGGCAAAGGCGAAATGTCAATTTAGATATGGCATACCCGTTGACAAAAGTAAATGTTTTACATTTTTAATTAGAAACTCACACAGACCGAGGCGAAACCCACCCAGGAGCAGGAGCAATCATGTGTGACATTATCGCCGACAGGACATCGACAATGTTCCTCTGCCACCACCTCCAGCGCAAGAGCTTTGCGGTTTGGGTAAACACTGGAAACAAGAGCGGTGCGATACGCCAAGGACTTGCCAAGGAAACGGCAGCTTAGACTATCAGTTGACAGCCTTGTGTCGGGGTAAATATTGACACAAATGTTTTTGTACAAAAATCGACCCTCAAGTGACTTCACAACTTTGCGTGCTTTTAATTATTTGTTTACGCTAGCTGCGGCTCCATTGCCCTCTTATTTGTTTATAATTAAAGCACTGGCATTTTTCTTTACGCATTTATCTTCGGCATAAATCACTTTAATTTTGATTTCCATTCAACTCCTTAATTAAAAACCAACACAGCGACCCGCAGTGGCATCACACAATGCGTCTGCCTTGTTGTTAATTAATTTGGCCTCAACTCGTAGGCGAAGGGCATGCAGTGCGTATTAGCCAATAAATCTCACATAATCTCCACTCACCGAATATTCCTCATTCATGATTGACGAGTTGCACTCGCATTGTCCTTGTATTGTTCGGATAAATGTGAATTTATGCATTGAGGTATTCGCATTCAATAAGTCAAAAGTCATATTTCAAACGATAAAGAAAGCTTAATGATTTGCATACAAAATATAAGGCAGATGCTGGGTATATTAGGTATGCTTTCCAGAATTTATAATAATTTTTTCTTCACAAAATTCGATCTAACTTTTCAGGGGTTGATTTAATTAATATAATACTAGCTTAGTTTCGGTTTTAGTATTTGTTTGATGAAAAGGAAATAAATGTATGAGTATGTATGTATTAGAATCCTCAAGTTCCATTAAATTCAGAAAAAATATTTTAAAAAAGGTGTTGTGTTACATTTTGTTGAAAACTTAAAAAAAAGTAATGTTTTTTAAGATAAGTATGTATACAAATTAGGTAGAGCATTACCTTTTGAGAGGAGATTTTCAATTATGGAGCTATTAAGTTTTTTTTTACCGTACTTGCGGTGTTTGGACGGTGGTCCACAACGAGATAAAGATACTATCCGTATCTAAATCAAACCAATTTGGCCGTAGTCAAGCTGCGCCCGAAAGTATGCAACACTTTGCTGACTCAGCCAGAAATTTCGCTAAGAGCCAAGTGATTCTGACCAAGGGGATGGCAATTTATCATTTTAGACTGTTGAGCAAGTGTTGACTGATGAGCCCCATGGGCGGAGTGAAGGGTGGTGGGTGGTGGGTGGCTAACAGAGGGTGGCCGAGTCGTCGTCGCCCCCTTTTAACTTTTGAGCTCAACGCAACTGACAATTGGCCTTGCTGGTCGACTGCTTGGATGCTTGGCTGCTCGGCTGCCTAGCTTCTTTGGTAATTAATTTTGATGGAGGACACATTGCGCTTAGTTGGCTTAGTTCACCCGCAGATGCGACCAGGTAAGGACAACTTTTTTGGGCAACAACTTCGGGCCGGGAATTAATCTGCATCTGGCCAGCAGCTGCGGCGTCGGAGGACAGCATTTTTGGTGTTTTAATTTTCGACGGTGTTTACTCGCTGCTGGTCCATCAATGTCTGGCCGGGACTAGCTGGAAGCCAAAAGCTATTAGGGGAATTAAAAATGCATGAAGCTAAAAATGGGATTTTGCTCTCAGCCTTTCAGCTGCGACTTCAAGGTGCGTGGCACTTAGTTAATTAGCCAGAGGCGGAAAAGGGGAGGCTGCCACTTGGCTGTGGCATTTTGCTTGACTTAAATATTTCATAATTCATAGATTCAATTGTTTTCAGCGGAGTTAAATTGCATGTTTCTTTGACTGCAATTATGCGAAGCAGACGATCGCATTTAACTGTTTGTGCACTTTGCCTGCCACGGTGGTGGGCGTGGTTCGACCGGCCACGCCCCCAATTCAATCTCGCCTCCGCGATCTTAAGCGAGCGATGCAGCGCCACCCGCACTCTTTTCTAATTTCTTGGGAATTAGAGTTGAGAAATTATGATGAACTGGCAGCCCATGCATTCACCCATTCTTTCACTTATTTATTCATCTGGCTTAATTGCCAAAGACAATAATGATCATGGAGATTATTATGCTGATGATGAAGACGTAGAACAAAACTCTATTCTTTAAAAGTCAGTTCCGCATGCGCCTGTAATACCCTTTAGATGGGGAAATGTAAAATAAGTTATAGGTTATATGTACTTGCAAAATTCTTAAAAAAAAAGAATGTAGTCGAGATCGCAAAATTTAATTTGAAAATAGGTTTAGTTTTAATTGCTTTACATAGGCTTTGAAATTGTTGTTTTTAGCTATTTTGATAAAAACTATAAATTATCTATCCATCAATTCTGTCAACTTAATCGATTAATAAATTAGAGAAATTTAAAAATTTAAAAGAAATAATAAATGTAAGCTAAATATTTATTTTATGTTAGATTATAGCTTGTCCTGATTTTTCTGGCATTTCTGGAGTTTAATTCTCTTACTTAAATATATTACATTGTTTTATTTTAGAGCATTCCAAATTCGTATGTCTTATTTTTGAGCTGTCATATTCGTCTTCGACATTTATTTGTTGTCTCCTTCTAAGTTCTCGCTTTGCGGTTGCACTATGCGGTTTGTGTTTGTTGTGTTCTTTAATTGTTCTATTAGTTTTAATTGATGGTGGCACTTGCAAATGTACAAAGTTGAATTGCTGTGGGACAGATACGAGATACTTTACTTCCCCAAGTTTGAGTGGATCAGAGAAAGGCGCAAATGGAAGGAAGGGGCGCAGAATCTTTCTTGATAACATTTTGGGTTTGCTTTGAGGTTTTGTTTGGTCAACCATCAACCATTTATACATAGGTAGGACTTATTGATGCTGCTGATCAGTTAAGTGTGGTGGCACAGTTGCCGTTGCCGGCTGCTTCTCCTCGTGATTATCGTCTTTGCATGTTGGGTCAGCTGCCGATGCCTTCGATGCCTTCGATGTGGAGATGCATCTCGAATGGCTGTGGCTCGCGACAACGATGACGTTGCATGTGGCGTGTGTGACACTTTTGCCTCGACAACGTTGCGCTCCTCAAAAGTGCTTCCTCATCCTTGGAATTCCTTGAACTTTCCTGAGTGTTGAGTGGGAATTATGGCGATAAGCGATAAACGATATGCGATAAGCCACCCGCTGGCAGTTTGGTTGTGTTCTGTCTTTAGGCAGCAGAAGAAGAAGTTGTCGCCGTGGTTTTTGCATACTCGTAACTTACGGCAGCTGGATTTGGCCTAAAAACCTAGAATGAATCCACCCTCATGGCCCGCAAAACTGTCTGCTAATGTCGCACGCCTCTCAGTTTCAGGGCCTTTGTTTCGGGCGGGGTCATTGTTTCTCTAACAAATTGATTCAGCAAAAACTGGACAAAACGGAACATCTTGCAGCATCTTGCAGCATCTTACAGCCTGCGATCTTGGCTCATAGATTAGCCCAGTCCAGTTGGGTATTGTCATGGAAATGGCGTATTGGTAGCAGCAATTGCAACTGCGGCAGCAGCAGCAGCAGCAGCAGTAACAACATCAATATTGCAGGCGGGGGGTGCTCAAAACAAACCAAACACGCATTGTCCTGTGCTGTGTGGCTCGAATTTGTATCGCCTTCTTGAAATCTACTTAGCACACAATGGCGTTGAAATAGTCTTATTGCTTTTTGAGTG